AGACGCCTTGGCAAGAAGACCGGCCCGGAACCATGGGGATGGCCCGTCCTGCAAAGAGCAGTACGTAAAGGTGGTGAGCCTAGAGGTGGCAGAGTACAAACGCTGGGCGCACGTGCAGTCTACAGATGCAGAGACGGCACTGATTTACCAACGGATAAAAGAAAGCGGGACTAGACCAGACGGGAAGGAAATGGAAGGAGCCAGCTATGAAAGGAAGTGCCTATGAGCTTTATGGCACAATTTAATCATGAGAGAGAATGTGCTCTCCTTCCATTGTCCCCCAGTCTATGACGAAAGAAGTAATAACGAACCTTCACCAACAGCTAGGTCAAGCGGGGACGAAGAAACTTGAGTTTGCAGCCCAGCAGAGGTTTTGGTGGCCGAAGGGACGTAAGAAATTTGTGCACTGCATGTGAATGCTGTGGCAGTTTCAAGAACCCCTAAGTGGCCTTCCGAGCCCCATTACAGACAATGTCAACAGGCTACCCAAACGAAATGATCGGTGTGGATATCATGGGGCCACGTCCCGTGACAAGAAGAGGCAATAAATACACCCTTGTGATAGTTGATTATTTCACAAAGTGGTGCGGAGCGGTTCCCTCAGAAGTAGCCGATGCTGCTAAAACGGCCAACGCGATAGTGAAACAGTGGATTTGTAAATGGGGTGCCCTAAACCAGTTACACTCTGATAGAGAAGCCAATTTCGAAAGCGCCCTGATGCATGAATTGTGCAGGGCATTGGGAGTCGATAAAACGCGAAGTACGGCGTATCACCCGGAAGAAAATGGACTAGTGGAGAGAACCAACAGGTCGCTGAAGGCACTGCTGGAGGCGTTTACCGACAAGAATGTTTTGGATTGGGACGTCACATTCAGCAAGTGTCTGCTAGTTTATCGTAGTTCGGTTCACACTTCCACGGGACACCCCCCACATTTCCTAGGGACGGGCAGAGAAGTCCGACTTCCATCAGACACCAGACTACCAGAAGTAACACAGCCACGTCCCTTGGTGACAGATTACGTGTGCATGCTTCTTGATACGCTTCGCGGAGAGCAACAGGCAGCGCGAACACAATTACAAACTGCTCAGCGACATCAAAAGGAATACTATAACAAAAAGTCTTTTGGGACGCCCTGCCGAGTTGGACAGATGGTGTGGCTACATGTCAGTACGCCGAATCCTGCAGTGCCGTCAAAATTACACAAGGAATGGCGAGGCCCGTATGAGGTGATCAAAATGCTGTCTTAGGTAACCTGCGTAATCAGGACTGTTTATCAAACTAACACTCAATCTACGGTGGTGAATTTCAACCGACTAAACCCATATACCCAGCAGGAAGACAGTAACGACCCGACACCTGATGTGGGATTAGATTTCGAGGTACCAGCGCAGGGTGGAATAGAAGTAGCACCGGGGACGGTGTTGTCAGTGAGGAGGAGGCTGTGTAGAGAAAACCACTATTTGATTTAGACCGGGCATTGTGAACTGTGAGGTTCTGACGGAGCTGCCTTTCCTTTGCGTTGCAGTTTATCCAATCATTGCCACAACGGTGAAGGATCGCCAAACGACAAACGAAGAACCCGGAGACAAGTGAAGGCGCACTGCAGATACGTACAATATAATTTCCTGATTCTTCAAGAGTCTTCTCCCGTGATTGCCTGTTACAATATAATTCCGTAGAATGACAACATAAGTGCAGATATGCATGGGGATGGATAAAGATGAAAATTTAGAAAATTTATCATTGTAATGCATTAAATTGAAGAAGAAAAAATGTAGACCTAATCAACTGTCATCCCCGTTTTGTCACAGATTAAAGGAGGATTCTGTGTTTAATATCTGTAAGGCCGGAAATTGTTGGCAAAAGATCTTGATTGTTTTTGCGGTCATGCCTAAAGGAATCGGCCAATGCACTTGATGGATTTCTTTTTCACTGCTGTCGGATTTATCAACCCAGGCGACAGGAGTCCACACGAACATCGTGGAAGGCTACTGGATCCGGGAAAATAGGTGACTGAAGGTAGTTTCTGGCTCTTTTGGTGATAGGATGTGCGAACATCTGGACGAAGTTCAGTACCGCTACTGGTCTGTCACTACGAGACTACACATTGACGTGGTGTGATGGCTTGTGCACCTCTGTGACCCAACGAGCTACACAGGATGG